CCAAAAAAAAAAAAAAAAAAAAAAAAAAAACCAATTAGTTCATCTAATTTTATTTATTAGGAAAATACCTAGTGCTACTTTCAAAGTAGTATTCAACATACTTTAATAATATGATAATTTAAGATATTCATTAATTTTGTAATATCTAACTATTTATCTATTGTGGTTTTACAGGGTCTAACTAAAGAAAATACAATTAAAATTATTTCCATGAATTATTCCCATTCATTTATATAAAATTATAATTGACAAGGCTTTATTGGATTTTCTTACTGTGAAAGAGAAAACCTTTGATATAATACCTGTTTTAAGTTCAACTAATCTACTTTTCTATATTTTATGAGTTATTTGAACTACTATATATGAGACTTTAATTCTCAAAATGCTATTATCCATTCCTAAAAATATACATTTGCACTTGGCTATTTCTTTTTGGAGTATATGATAAGTACATGAAAAATTGATCTGAGAAACTATTTCTAAAATAAAATTTTATAAAAGTTTAAGAAAATAGGTGAACACTATTTAGAAGTTTATAGTCCATTTTAATAACTTTCATGAAAATAAATTACTGCAGGTCTCCTTATGTTCCTTTAATATAGTATTTAATTTGTTATCATAGACTAGTCTTTAAAGGCTTTTGTTCTCATGAGAATTATGCCTATTTTGATTACTGACACATTAGAAATGAAATTGTCACTGTTATTTTGTATTAGAGTCTTGTGATATGCCTATACTTGAGAATGCTGCAACTAAGAATAATAGCACGTGGTTTAAACTCAATGACAAATTAGACTATGAATGTCATGTTGGATATGAAAATGAATATAAGCATACCAAAGGCTCTATAACATGTACTTATTATGGATGGACTGATATACCCTCATGTTATGGTGAGTACTATGTTCTCTGGAATATTTATTTAAATATTTAAAAATGAATGTTTATGTTATTAAAACTTAAATTTTCTAGAATCTTCCTTATGATTTTATATAATCTAAGAAAAAGGACTGTTTTCAAAACCATTGATGTTAATATTTGCATTTATTATTTCATTATATTTATTTATTCATTTATTTATTCTGTGTGTGTATATGCAATCATGTATGTGTTGATAGAGTTGTGTATACTGCACATGGAGATGTCGGAGATCCTGTAAGAGTCAGTTCTTTCTTTTCATTATATAGGTCTGGATTTAACTCAGGTCTCCAGGCTTAGAGGCAAGCACTTTCACTGACTGAGCCATCTTTCTGCTCTGATAATATGTTTTTAAAATAATATATTTGTCAGTTGTATATAGCACTAGATTATGATTCTAGCAATCAGGATCCTGGATGAAGAGGTTTTAAGTTTGAGAATCTATTGGGCTACTTACTAATTTCTGTTTCCTAAAGCAGGCAACCCAAAAATTTCATTAAATTAATGATTCCTTTTTTTTTTGTTTGTTTCTTTTTTTTATTACAATTTATTTTTTCTCAAATCGTAGTTCATTCACACATGGGTTATAAACACAGAAAGGCAGGATGTGGGGAAGGGAATGGCACTGGAGTGTGGGTGTTCAGGGGCAATACAGGTATCTTCAGAACCGGGTATCTGCTGGGTGAAGGTTCAGGGGACAAGTCACTATGACTCTGCCTATGGCTCACTTGTCCTTATCTAAGTTGGTATTGTCTGCCAAGGCTACCTATTTACAAGGTCTATGACTACTCAGGCTTGTAAAGTTCCACAAAAGCTACCTGTTTACATTAGCTTATAGCCATCTGTTCCAATGTTTTTCAACTGAGACCCAAGACTTGGTGTTAGTATACATGTATGACAGGCCTATTGTTGATTTTAGGCCTATGGCTGATTTTAGGCCTTCAGTGTGTAAGCAGGGCTGCCCCTGACATCTCCTCCCTTCTCTAAGTATAGAAGGGCTGTTGCAATTCTAAACTTGCAAAGGTGAGGATAGAGGCCTAACCTCCAGTATTTGAAGGGGACCTTGTAATGGCTCCAGTCCCCCTATCGTTGTCCAGTGAGGCATGAGGGCCACACCCATCCCGATGTCTTTTTCCTGGAGAGGGGATACTTTTGACATCAACCCCTATGCAGTCAGGCTTGTCCCTCAGGGAACCCAGAGAGATATTTTTATCTTTTATTTATATTCCCTTGCAGTGGTTAGCCTCGCAGCCTAAGCAAGAATTCAGATCGCCTGTCAGAGGGGGTTCTGGGTGGCCCCTCTCGGCTTGATCTAGGGGCAGAAGTCCCCCCTTTTAGGTTGGGTGGAGATGGGTTTTGGAAACGCCCTGTCTAAAGTAACAACCTCATCTTGAGTCTTGTGGTCCTCCATAGCTAACTTATGATAATGTATCTGAGTGAATACATTATTTGTTAATAATTTGTAATAATTTGTAATAATTTGTTACCAAATTATTTATCTGTTGTATCACAGAGTTAGTCTGCCTATTTGAGAGCCAGGGACCAGCAGAAATAAGCAAAAAGAACCCAAATAATGGTCCCAGGATGGGAGGAAATAGAGTTGACAACCTTGGAGAGGCTGAAAACCAATTGTTGTACCAGAATTCATTTGTCTCTCTCTCTCTGATTTTTCTTAGGGCCTTCACTATCTATTTCATGCTCTCTTTAACCTTCCTTGTCTTGTCTATGTAAAGGCAACTTTCTTCTTTAAGGGCTGTACACAGTCAAGAGCTGTACACAGCCTTTTCTATTGTAATAGAGTAAATCAAGTCCCATAAGGATCTTTGCGATTTTAGGAGGTCTCTTCAGACAGTGAAATGAGAGATTTCTTCAGATTAGTGATGTCAATCTCTAGCTGTTTGATGTTCTTGTCAGTGGCCCTTCAAAGGTCTGAGTAGTATAAGTTCAGAGGCCAGGATCTGGATTAGAACTTCTAACAGCAGACATCATGGGTGATTCATTTTTACCTGGGATGCTGCCTGAGTTACAGCTCCTGGGAGTCCCTCTTTCTCTTGGTTTTCTGGGGTTGGGTACAGAGCTGCAGCCTGTGACCTGCCTTATGCTCGGGCCCAGACCAGAAGTCAAATTAATGATTGTTTGTGTTCCCCTGGGTATATCATGGCCAGCACACTGGCCAATTGAGAGATGGCTGTTTCCTTTAAGGCTACCTCCTTAGCAGCCTGGTCATCCAGATTGTAACCTCTAGCCATTGGAATTGTTCCCTATTCATGCCCTGGGCAATGAATGATTGCCATTTTTTTTTTTTTTTTGCAACCAGAGGGCTTTAAGGATTTGTAGAATTTCATTTTTTTTTTTTTGATAGCTCTTTCTTCTGCTGTTAGGGGCCCTCGTTCCTGGTAAATGACTTCATGCATATGAGCAGTTGCAAATGCATTCCTAGCTGTCCCTGTTAATAGCTAGTCCTTTTCCTGTGATGAGGACCTGTGTTAATGCTATTACTTTGGCCCTTTGGGCTGAAGTGCCTGGAAAAGAATCTTAGTCCAAATTACTTCCATTTCTGTAGTCACTGTTGTCCTTCCTCTCCCCAGAGCCTCATGAATGACGCTGCTTCTGTCCATAAACCAGGTCTTCTCTGCCTCCAACAGAGAAGAGTCCATCAAGTCAGGTCCTATACTGTGTATCTGGGCCAGAACTTCATCCCATTAATGTAGTGGACAATCCATGTAACGATAGGGTAGGAGAGTCACAAGATTCAGGGAAAGAGGTGGCTGAAAAATAACTCAGCCAAGGTTGATTAGTAAAGTCTGATAATGAGTCATGTAGGCATTACTGAGCCATCAATCAGAAGGCTGCTTGAGTATACTTGAATTGCATGGTTGAGGTGCACTATCAGATTCTGTCCCAAAGTTAATTTATCTGCATCTTTAGCTAACAGTGCTGTGGCTACAATAACACACAGGAAAAATGGCCATCCTGCTGCCACTGGGTCCAGTTTCTTTAATAAATAAGCCTCGGACCATTTACATGTTCCTATAGTTTGGGTCAAAACCCCTTTAGCTACTCCTCCTCCAGCAATCTGTTGAAGCTTGGAGTTTCCTTTCTTTTGAATCCAAGGCTTTGTTGGCTAAAAATACTCTAACCAAATCTCCATTCAATTCCTTTCTTGTCTTAATCTGCACTCTTCTGTGCTCCCTTTGCAACTTCCGCTAGATCTCTCAAGGACTTCTCAATTAATCTTTCCTTGCCTCTGTAACTTCTTCCTAATATCCAAAGCTAACTGATCAATGAAAGTCAGGGCTACCGTACTACAATTCTATGTTTTCTCTGCTCTATGTGTGCATAACCCAATTAAAGAAATGCAGCTAGACTTTTATCAGTTTTCTGACTAATATCATATCTAAACCTTGGCCAAAGTTTTGTTGAGACCTGTTGAAAGAGCCTGGGGGTAAACCTGGAGATATTTCCTACCTTACCATGTGGAAATGCCAGTCTGGGTTTGCCTGTAGGTGCAGGAACTAGAACCTCTTTCTGTGGTGAAGAGAATCCACAAGAGCTTTGGATAGGTGGCTGCACTGAGTGCCCTGAAAGGGAGTGCCTATTGCTTCTCAGTGGGCTGAGTGTGACAAGAAAGTGTAAGTGGAGACCTACTCCTTACAACTCAGAAACTACATCTGTTCAGACAGGGAACAAGCACTTCTAGGAAGAAGGATAGGTATATACTGAGCAAAGTGAGTGACCAGGAGTCTGTTCCAAGCACTGGTGGAGGATACATCTGCCCACCTGGGGCCTCTCCTGTCCAGTCTGTGCAGATGTAGAGCCCTGCTCTCTGGGAACTTACCTGCCAACTCAGGGAAAGCCTGGTTAGGCCCTTAGGAGGCCCTTGTCTTTAAACATTCTAGGGTCCCTGGATGCCAGTGTGTTCTGCGCCTCCACTGGGCAGAAGGGGAGGGGAAGGGGAATAAGCCTATGTGAGCTGTCATAAAACATGGAGCGAGTTCTGAGGAAAAAAAGGAGTCACCAAGCAGTTACTAGAATTAAACTCAGGACGTCTGGAAGAGAAGTCAGTACTCTTAAACCCTGAGCCATTTTTTTTTAACCTTAAATCTGATTCCAGCAGGAAGGGTGGTGGGGCTGGAGCTGGTTCCTGTTGTTCCTTGTCACCCTGTGGCTGTTCCTGTTGACCAAAAAACATTAGCAGGGGAAAAGAGGGAAAAATTTGAAACACTTTATCCTCTACTGCTAACATGGAGAGGAGATGAAAGGTCCCACTCCAGTGACCATCCAACATCAAAAGCCAGCCACTCCACGTTGCAATTAGTCATCCTTAGCCCTAACTTCCTTAAAATGGTCAGGATAAGTTTAAGTTGAGAAACAGTGTGTCCCATGGCGTCCATCACTGTCTGATACAAGTAAAGACCAAGAGACACAGGAAACAGAATAGACAGGCACAAAATAACTGTTCCATAGGTGAAAACAAAGATGAATCCAAAATTTCAGACTCACAGATTCACAGATTGCTACTTCAGAAACTGAAAGCAGCAAAGGGAGGTAAACAACTGACCATGACTCTACGTTTGCACCAAAAATTCCTCCAACTGACAGGTGGATGCCTCATTTACCCTGGAGTCAGAACCTCCTTCCTTACTCCCATGGCTGCGACCTGCCAGTGTGTCTGCTCTTAGCTACTCCTTGCTGCTTTTACAGACACCTCAAGCCTCTTTCACCAACAAAAAGCACGTTCAAACACAGACAATACACAAAGACACAGACACTAGCCACATCAGACCCTTCAGATTGGTTACTGACCAATCCACAAACTGTTGTGCCTAGATTACAAAAACCCCAAATTGACCACCAAGAACCTCAACTCCAATACAAGCACATGAGAGTCTTTATTTAAGCTCAAGCTTGAGCCACAAACTTTCCTGATGGAATAGGAAGGAGAAAGACACTTGGGTCTAGAAGCTTAGGTTTTATATAGGGAAAGCATTCAAGATGGGGCTTTCAAACCTTGGTGTTACATGATGGATAAATTCATAAATAAATGTTAACCTTCAAACTGATGTCATCAGGGAGAGACCACACATCTAAAAAGGGGCATCTTATCATGAGAATGATTCATGTTTTCTTTACTTTTCTGGTTATTGTGACCAGCTTTTCTTATGTTGCAAGCTGACCACAGCTGTTATGTCTGCTTTCCACTGCTGGGAGTGCTTGGTCATCTCCTTCCCAGAGCCCAAGAGTGGGGATCATATCATTCCAAGGACAGCAGCTTTCTCTAAGGACAGCAGCTTTCTCCAAGGACAGCAGCTTAAAATAGAGTTTAGAGGGCAAGATGCAATCTGCTCTTTTTTAGCTTCTTCACAGTTTTTTAAAGGTTGCCTTCAGAAATATGGCTGACGAGTTTCTTATAGGAGAATAAATGACGTAAAGACAGCTGCATCACTAAAACCCACCCATTATGGCTGACAGCTCAGAAAAACACAGTGGAGCATATTACATAACTTATAGGCAGCACAATAGGTTGGAGAGTGTCTCTTCCATGTGACTCCGCTGTCTAAGCAACTTCCAGGTGCTAGGTAGGATCCGGCTTCTTCTGGAAAGAAGTAGGTGTGATCTTCTTCTTCTTCTTTCTCCTCCTCCTCCTCCTCCTCCTCCTCCTCCTCCTCCTCCTCCTCCTTCTCCTTCTTCTTCTTCTTTGAATTTAGGGTGATCTGAGTTTCTTCCTTGCAGCTTTGCTTCTCTGAGTGACTAAGTAGGATTTTTACTCAGGAAGTGGGAGGGCTGATGAATCTTCTCAATTTCAGTGACTTCCTGAAGCAACTTTGAGTTGTTTATCTCCCTGCTAAGGAGCTTATTTCAATCTCAAGGAATCTGTTACCCAACAAATTCCTATGGACTTTCAATATCTCCAGGCCTGACAGTGAAATTTGAATCAGAGGAGAGGAAATGGAGTGACTGAGACAACAGTGCAAACTGATGTGATCAGACAGTGTTATATTCCAAATTTAATGAAGACTAATGACAATGTGACACACAGATAGGAACCTGTCAGCACAATTTAAGTCTCCAAAAGTTGAATGAAGCTTAATGCTATTAAGTGTTCTGGCCTCAAAAATGTACGGTAGAACTGACCACCATCTAGGCTTGTTTCAAATGTTCTAGGAATTTCTCATTGTTAGGAGATGTGACCAAACTATTATTTTCAAGTCCTCTTGGGCTGAGTAGTATTTACTACAAAGTTAAAGAGCAATAAACATAAGAAAATAAATCGATACCTTTCCATACAAGAGCACTAAGAGAAACATTTCTCTTTTAGTGTTTCCCAGCTCAAAAAGATCTTTAATTCACATATCACTGGTTATGGCCTCTGTGAATTGCTTCTTCCCCTTCCCTGCAATAAATTCATTGGAGCCAAATTAAAAAGTATAAGGTACCTTCAGTTCCTTGATTCCCCAACATAGGGGAATGCTAGAGCAGTGAGGTGGGAGTAGGTGAGTGGGTAGGCCAAAAGGGGAGGGGAAAGGTGAGAGGTGAGGGAGGATGGGATGGGGTTTGTGGAGGGGAAATCATGAAAGGAGATTTCATTTGTAATGTAAACAAATAAAATGATTAATAAAACAAACAAACAAACAAACAAAAAACATACATTGTTCCAAAATGAAAAGAAAAAGTAAAAAGCAGATTTAGTCAGGGAATAGTTTCTCCCAGGTGAGCTCATGGTCTCTCCATAGGAGGTCCATGAAGTTACCCAAATAGGCTGGGTTAAGGGCCTTTTGTAGGAGAGTGGAGTGAGGAAGTAGCATGCTTGATAAAGTATTAGGGTCCTGTAGGCATGTCCTGAGTCCAGTGCTCATTTTAAAATCCAGAACTAAGTGTCTGCTTTGTCCATTGTTTTGAGAGGGCTTTTGTAACCATCAGCTTCTGCCTGGAATATATTCTGTTCACAGGCTTTTACAAGTGCCTGCTTCTGGAGTGCACAGGTGTGGACCCACACACAAACACACACACACACACACACACACACACACACACACACACGCAGACATAGGATAGACATGATTTCTGGTCTGACACACTTTGTATTAATATAGTAGCTAGGTCAGATAGAGTGGTTTTTTTCACATTAAGACAGAGTGTTATGATATATTTATTAAATAATTTGTATAAAAGAAGAAAAACACATATACAGCCATAGAGTCAATAAAAAAATAGTTATAGGTGGTTATATTGTGGCATTCAAATCGACTAGGAAAAAGCATAGACTTAGGCTCAATTCAAGTTTAGATTAATGAACTTATTCTTACTGCTAGCAGCATGGAGAAGGACTAAGGGGGGGGGCAGTATCAAATCAGATACCAAAAGGTGTGAATTACAATTATCTATTGAATCTTCACTAGGACAAAAAAAAAGTGTTTTACTCTCCTCAGTTGTTCATCCTTATCATTGTAGGCTAATAAGACCACTCCATCCTTGTCCCACAAAAGCAAAACTCAAACTGCTTATTATCTTACAACAAGAATTCCAGTAACCCAAATTTCTTTTCTCTTCTTTTCTTTACTTTTGTTTGCTTTTCTTTTTATTTATTCTTCTCTCTTACAATATCTCCCAACTGCAGCCTCCCTTCCCTCAACAGTTCTCAATTCCGTCTTCCCATCTCCACTATACTCATTGTTCTTACCTTCCCCTTCAGAGCAGAGCAAGCTTCTCATGGATATCAACCAAGCATGACAAAATGAGAAGCAATAAGACTAGTCACAAACCCTCATTTCAGGGTGGATGAAGCAACCAAGTAGGAAAATGGTCTCAAGAGCAGGGAAAGAATCAGAGATAATCCCCCCCACACACTCCCACTTTTAGGAGTCCTACAAAATACTCAAGCTAAACAACAGTGTGAATGTAGAGGACCTAGTAAAGATGCATGCAGGCTCTTCGATTGCAGCTCCAGTCTCTGTAAACCCTATGAGTCCTGCTTAGTTGATTCTATGGACCATATTTTCCTGCAGTTGCCAATCCACCCACAAAACATTCTACTGCTCTTTCCCAGAATGATATCCTTCTTAATTATCCTCCTTCTTACTTAGCCTCCCTTGGTCTATGGACTGCAGCATGATTATCCTTTATTTCATCTCTAATAACTATTTATGAGTACATATCATTTTTGTCTTTCATGGTCTGGTTGCCTCACTCAGGGTAGTTTCATTTCTAATTCTATCATTTGCCTGTAAATTTCACAATGGCATTTTTCTAACAACTTGAGAAATATATCATTGTATAAATGTACAACATTTATATACATTCTTAAATCGAGGGACCTCTAGGTTTCTGAGCCATCCAACCTATGGTTGCTGGTCATCCAGGTAGTCCCAGACATGGCTCTTACTCACTGCATGGGTCTTAAACTGTATCAATCATTGGTTGGCCACTCCTACAAGTTGCAGGCAGGACAAGTAGTAGGTTGAAGATTTTGTGGATGGGTTGGTGTCTCAATTCCTTTACTGGTAATCTTTCCTGGTTAGAGAAGATGGCTTCCTTAAACCCCACTACTAGGAGACTTTACTAGGCTTACCCTAAAGATTCCTTGGAGTTTACATTGCACTAAGGTTCTGTGTTGCCCTGATGCCCTAAATTCTAGTCATCTCCTCCAATAATTTCTCACTCCACCCCACCTGATTCTTCCTGTTACCATCCATCCAGTTTTGAAAGTATCAATTATCTCTTATGAATGACACTAATTGAAAATGTGACTTTTAATTAATACATTAGAAGAAGGGAGATTTTAAGGCAGGAATTATTTATTTATTTACTTACTTATTTTTGGTAACACTCTACAATGTCAAAAATTGAAGAAAAATTTTATCATACTGGAGAATGTGGTACATTCTTAATTTCCAGCAGTATAATTGACATTAGATTATTAATTAGAACTAGAAGTATAACAAATGGTTTAATGTGAAGGGTTTGCACATGTTTCTTATGTTCTTTTTAATTGTAAAATATACTAACTATATTTTCCTAACTTTAGATACATTAGAAATTATTTTATATATTTTATTTTCCCATTATATTAAACTGAAATGATTTTAATATGTTACTTAGGTATTGTATGACACTAATTTCAAATCTGAGTAAAAGAATTTTGTGTTGTAGGATAGGGAAGCTATCTCTTTAATATGAATATTTATGTGCAGCAAATCAGATCCAGTGAAAATAAGTTGATTTTTTTAAATCAGTTTTGAACACTTTCCTATATTTCTCAGAGACTACCATATTGATTTAGAGGCTATATTAATGCTAGTATGCAATGTTTTCATAAGGAGGAGGGTTACAGAACCTTCCTTGTGAATGTACATGAGAAAGATAAGCCTACTTATCAATGATTAATGGTATATTCTAATTATCTTACTTTTCAAGAAAGAGAATGCAGCATTCCCATGCTAGACCCAAACTTAGTCGTTTCTCCCAGAGAAGTAAAATACAGAGTTGGAGACTTGTTGGAATTCTCTTGTCGCACAGGACACAGAGTTGGACCAGATTCAGTGCAATGCTATCACTTTGGATGGTCCCCTAGTTTCCCAACATGTAAAGGTCAGTATCTGTTTTACGTTTGATGAATTAGGATCAGAAATTTAATTTTTATCTTTTAACATTCCCCATCATCCAACATGTCTATAGTATAAAATCTTCAGAGAAATTGACATCCATAAAGGACATGAATTATGTGGCTAATATAAAGCCATGTATTTTTGAGGTTAATAACAAGCTAACGTGATCCTTTAAGTGTATTATAAATGTATCTATATATGCAGACATGATGACTGAGACTGAAGATATTTCTTTTACTTTCTCTACATTATCATTAGTGCTGGTGTTTTAATAGCATAAGCCTTCCCTCATATTCCATAGAGTATGTCCAAACACGTAAAAATAGATTTTAATTAATTCAATACCATATATTAAAAAATTAAAATAGATACAAGATACAATGCTAATGCTTTTTACAAAATGATAACTCTATAATAAAATAGTATCAGTCAATGTGGAAATCATTATAATCAACACAACAATTACTTAGTGATTTGCATGTATCTTCAAGGTGTCAGGTTCACCAAAAATTCTTTCACCTTTAATGCATTTGCAATCGTATTCCAACAGTGCATTACAGCTATAAAATGTAAATCTAGTGTAAATAATATTTATTTTAAAAAGTGTTATAAAAGTGATATGGTGAATAAATCAAAATTTTCTCCATTTGCTAAAATTTTAGGCTGTAAGATGTACATTTTCATTTATATTTATACAGTATTTCTACAGTAGGTCAAGTAGGATCGTGTGCACAACCTCTTGAAATCCTTAATGGGGAAATTAAGGGAACAAGGAAAGTTGAATACAGCCATGGTGATGTGGTGGAATTTGATTGCAAAACTAGATTTCTACTGAAGGGACCCAAAAAAATTCAATGTGTTGATGGGAAGTGGACAACCTTGCCTGTATGTGTTGGTAAGTAAATACATTAATACGTCAAAGCTATTTTGTATTAGAAGTGGTGCCTTGATCATAAATACATTTTTGTGAAACATCTACAGAGGAGGAGAGAACATGTGGAAATATTCCTGAACTTGAGCATGGCTCTGTCCAGTTTTCTGTCCCTCCCTATCACCATGGAGTTTCAGTGGAGTTCACTTGTGCAGAAACCTTCACAATGATTGGACCGGGGTCAGTTTCTTGCATTAGTGGAAGGTGGACCCAGCTTCCTCAATGTGTTGGTAAGTATGTGTACATAAAATGGATACTTTATAAAGTTTAATATTTGTATTGTAGAAATATTTACTACTGTATACTTTTGAAGTTAGTATTCTTTTTGGAAATATCTAGTCAAATAATGTGAATTCAAACTTTTATTGTTTATAATTTGATGTATGTTGACAGATGAACAGAAATCATTAATATAACCTATAAAAGCTTACTCATTATGTTAAGATAGATCTAGTTGTAAATTATAAAGTTTGCTGTGAGTGAAATGTGAAGACTAACCACAAGAAGATATGACTATGGTACAAAATTATCACTGCTGTTATTGTATGAGACTTTCCTCTCAGGTCTTGGAACACTAAGAAAAAAGTCTACTAATAATCCATTTCCTACTCACATAACAAACTGTCCTCCCTAAGCACATCTAGAATACTTGTGTTTATTCCATGGGCTGCATTCTAAAGTCAATGTTGTGGAACTGGGACCATCTGCCCTGTCATCAGATGTAGAACTCAGTGATTGGATTGGATGAGAAACATTATTCCATATATCAATTCTGCACTGATTCCTCACGTTCTTTTGGTGATTCAATCCTAATAAGTAGTTGAAATCATCTTGGTGTCTACATTCTCTTTTCTCTGAAATGGAAGGTTTTTTGTTTTTAGAGTGATCTTGGTCATTCTTTCAGCATGGTCCCTGGTGTTCAGCCTTTATTTTTTATTGGAATTTTGGGTATTTGTTAATGCCAGGGAAACTTGGAGCTCCTTTGGAAAGAGCAACTATACTTATGTTGTTTATTGATATGTTCTCCATGCCCAGACAGCCAAACTCCATAACAGTTTCTCATGTAAATGAATAATAACTCTACTACATATTAATCCTAATGAATTTTTGCTCAACAAACACCTTTTGTCAAACCCATCTTCATAATTGCTTTTAAACTGTTTAAAAATAATTTCATATGGAGAAATATCAGACATAATATCATATAAAAATCTGAATTCTTTATTTAATACTATTCTATACTTATTTTTCTTTGCTCTATTCTAATTTATTATTTGTTCAGATATCAGAGGTTTAGTTTGATTAATCTGCATATACCCACCTTAATATGACTCTCTTCAGTTATGTCTTCCTGGGCTAGAAAGTTAATGTTATGATTCAAATATTTTTACCATGACACTATACATTACTTTTCACCATATCTTTAGCTTTCTCCTGTTAAATAATAGATTGAGAAGCAAATCAACTACACAGTTACCATGCCCCTTTGACCTTCTTCTTTTTCCTTCACAGAACATCAGCTTTTGTCTTTTTGTGGACCAATCTTTAGGAAGGGGCTAATTCTCAGGGGTCTTTAGTGTTTTCCTCACTCTTGTCGACATTTTAAATGTTACACAACCTTTTTCTAATTATTTACTTTCATTTGCACTATGTTCGTTTAACTCTAGATTTCAAGTTATTAATGAATGTTATCTAAGACCCGTACTGAAATGTGGAATTCTAAAAGGACTATCATTTTCACCAAATAATTAAAATATATAACATATTAAAAGGCCATAAATAGTCCTTACTTAACTCATAACACACCAGAAAAACTTATTATTATAACTTAATATTGCTATATTATAGAATAACCTGGAATATGAAAGTGTTTCTTATAGACTCATATGAAGGGAATATAAAGGATACAGGTGGTGACTACACACACCTAATTTCTTACACCAGTTCTCTCATAAAATACTTTGAAATATTTATATTCTACATATTATAGATGTTCTTTTTCATGTGTCACATCTATCAAAGAAAGAAATGTAGAGTAGAAAATGTCTATATCCTATCAACACATTTTTATTTTAATATTTTTAACATTTTAACATTATGAAAAATGGGAGAGTAATGAGTTTGAACATTTTTACAGGTTTTAAGGCTATGACAAGAGTTGGTCATGTTATAATCATTTCTTAGGTAGAACATCTGAGACAGTGACTTTTTTTTAATGTTTTTGTAGTTGCCTAGTACCCAAGTCTCTTCATGGCACAAACTGTCTCTGAGACATAAAAGAGTAGACATGACATCTAGTTCCCATACCATAGGTCACTTTGACATGGAAAGTCTGAACATTTTGGTTGGCAGAGTCTATAGTACTAAGGTGTAGTTTCATTTTACATCCACTGTATAAATATTTTAATGTAATAGCTCATTCACTTCTTATAAGTGTTTTTAATTTTCATTGAAATATTATCATATAGCAACAGATGAACTGAAGAAGTGTAAAGCACTGAAGTCAACTGACATAGAGGCAATTTACCCAAATAAGTATGAATTTAATCATAACTCTAACATGAGTTACAAATGTAGAGAAAAACATGAGTATGAATACTCAATCTGCATCAATGGAAGATGGGATCCTGAACCACACTGTGCAAGTAAGCTCTTTTTGCCACTGTCTTTTCATGAGTATTCTAGCCTTTACTCAATGATAGCAGTAATGTCTTTATTTTCTAAATAAAATTTCCTAGAATTTTATGTGTAAAGCCTGTGTTTATATTATTTCTACATCTCCCTCTTCCCACTCCAACTCAACTCCTCTTGTGTCCCTCCAATTTCATATCCAGTTTATGACCTCTTCTTGATGTATGTGTGTAAGTATACATACATGTATGAATAACATTTACAAATAAAACTTGTGTGTGTAAATTAAACCTGATGAGTCCATTTGGTGTTTCTCCTATGTGTAAGTGCTAGGAGTAATTGCATTGGATTGGATAACTTATTTGTTTGCTCTCTCATCCAGAGAGAAGACTGATTACTCCACAGTAGAAAGTCATTAATTGCCTGTAGCTCTTCATTTAGGGAACGGGTCATGTAACATTTTTCCTGTTTATACTAGTTTGCCAGTTGTTATTGTCATCATTAATATCTTGTTATGTGACCACTCTTTTGAGATTTCATGAGTTCAAATATCCTGCTATATATGAAGATATTATCTTCTAACAAAATTTCTTGAAAAACACTTTTTAATATAATAGTTGTTTTAGAAATTACAGTATCATGTTTGATAGTGACCTGTAGAGTAAAACACACAAACTTGATCAACATGGCTTTGCCTATGAGTCACAATGGTCCCTTACTCTTAGAGATCTACTACATATGATTATTTTATACCAACAAATGTGCTATGCCATTCCTGTGCCTATGATTAATCATCATGACTTTCAGTATGATTATGTGTTCTGTCAATATAACTACTTATTTAAGTCTTCTAACAATCACCTTACCTGGAAAATTCTGATTCATTTGATACCTTCCATTCCATGTCAGTTGGCAACAGCGTCATTCTACTACTATTTCTGCTTCTCTCTTTGTACTTATCACTGTTGTTTTGGAGGCCCTGCCTCATTTGATATTTTAACTAAAGTTTACAGAAAGTATTTCCTTGCCATTCCAAAATTAAAACTATTATGTGTATGTTAATGGAGTGCACCTGTTGTTCTGTAGCTGTCTCTGTTATTTTTTCTGTTATCATTTTGGTCATAGTATTAAGATAGTAATTGCTTTTCTTTTATACATGACTAGCTAGTTGTCCAAAGAATGTAAAGAACTGTACTTGCTACATAATGTTGATTTATTTCTAGTAATACCACTTTATTTAAGGAGAAATATATAAAAGAATGAAATTATTAGTAACTACTAAGTCAGTATCCATTCATGTTTCAATATGAGAAATGATTTTGAAGTGGTTTAATGGAAAACTGGTCAGAAGAGCCTTAATACCAGCACTAAATTATCCTGATTGTGAACCATCAGTTTTCACATCTCTATCCAGTTTAGGTTAAATGGAATGTTCAGGGTAGTTGACATTTAGAATTACATAACACACACCACTTGTTATCATACTCCATATTCTTATTAACCAAGAGTCAATCTAAAATTGATTATCAGTTGTGATGATTCATCTTATAATCTATCTGACAGAAACCACAATAAAGTAGGAAAAACACTCTGAGCATGTCTGTAAGGACATTTCTAGTTTAGGTTAACTGAGGGGAAACGAGCCACTATACGTGTAGGTGGCAGCATTTTATGAGCAGGATTTGTGACATAAATAATAAGGGAAATATGACTGCACATCCTGACTATATATACAGTATGAGCAGCACCTTCACATTTCTGTTGCTGTTGCTTCCCTGTATGATGAGCTAACTTAAACCCTTCCTTCTTTCTTCTTTTCTTCTTTCCTTCTTTCCTTTGTTTCTTCTTTCCTTCATTTCTTCTTTCTTTCATTTTCTTCTTCCTTTCTTTATTTCCTTCCATCTTCTTCCCTTCTTTCCTTCTTTCTTTCCTTTCTTATTCATTCTTCCTCCTTTTACCTTCCTTCCTAAACTTCTTCTGTCAGGTATTTCATCACAACAATGAGAAAAGTCATTAGTATATTAAATAAATACAAGTACAACTTTCCCTAATCAACTTTCATTTGTAAATTATTTCATGAGGATTTTTAATGTAATCAGCATATTAGATCATAAATATCCATAGACAGCTCTAGAGAAATATTTATGTAAGCTTAATCTTAATATAACACATTTAAGTGTGTAAAACAGCCAAAATATTTTAAAGGCTAGAAATGACTGAAGCAAGTTTTACAAAAAAAAATATAAAACTGCATTAAAAATGAGAAAAATTTCAAAGAATCACTATATTAACAAGAATCACTATATTAAATTGCTATACAAGTGAAATGTATAAAATATGGACAATTTTTACATTGTCATAACTAACTTACTATTTAATGAACATTATTACTTCAATAATTTAAGATACTGTCTTTACTAAAGAACTATGATTTTGATGCTTTCTAGGAAAAGAGAAAATATCCTGTCCTCCTCCACCACAGATTCCAAATGCCCAAGTGATAGAAACCACAGTGAAATACTTGGATGGAGAAAAAGTATCTGTTCTTTGCCAAGACAATTACCTAACTCAGGACCCAGAAGAAATGGTGTGCAAAGATGGAAGGTGGCAGTCATTACCACGTTGCATTGGTCAGTAGCTATGACTTTACAACATTAGAACTCAGGTGAAAGGATATGTATTGAAAGGGCATACTATAAATATTCTGAACACTTAATTCAAATAGTGTGTTTTATTTTCTAAATGTAAGTTTTTACTTCTGCTTGACTATTTCATTTATGTTCTTCATGTAGAAAAAATTCCATGTTCCCAGCCCCCTAAAATAGAACATGGATCTATTATACACAGATCTTCTGAAGAAAGGAGAGATTCAACTGAGTCCAGCAGCCATGAACATGGAACTACATTTAGCTATGTCTGTGATGATGGTTTCAGGATATTTGAAGAGAATGTGATAACCTGCTACATGGGAAAATGGAGCTCTCCACCTCGTTGTATTGGTGAGAGTGACATTAAAATTCAACAGTGGATTTAAACAAGTCATTACAAATATTCTACTCTCATCCTAACCAGAAGAAATCGTGATTTAGATCGGCAAATATACACATTTACATATTTTAACCATACATTTGTACTGGCATGATTCAATCCATGCTGCTTTAGTTGATTGTAGTGTTTCTATTGAAATCTAGTTTCATTCTTGAATTTCTATTTGTAAATATGATGTGTAGTCTAGAGACTTCATCTTCTCATGTGCGTTGTATTGTTTGATTTGCCAATGAGTGACAAAACCACAATTTTAGGGAAAACAGCAGAAGAAAAGAGATGAGAAACTATATAAACACAACGTGTCACTTTATACACTCAGGAATCTCATAAAAATACTAACTTGAAAACCATAATATATATAACAGTATCCAAAGGACCTTTCTGTACCAAAGATGCTTACCTCTGTAGGCACCAGTGCAACTTTGTTATGTTCAGTGAGTTGCACAGGTTTTGTCTTTCACAGTGTAGCCTTGCCTTCAGGCTATGGGGTACAATCTATAGTCTTGTCAACAGCCTGCCTGTGTTTTTTATAGGTTCCATCTGACCCCTTTGGCACCCACTTAATTACATGTACCCTAATCCCTGTAATAAAAGCTTCATTGGTGACAGGACATGTCCACTGGGATTCTGTCTCCTAACATTTTTTGGTAATTTCATCTATATGTCACAGGTAAATGATGGGATGTAGACAAAGATTTTCCTGAGTGAGGTAACTCAGACTCAGAAATACATACATGTATATATTTGCTTATATGTAGATATTAGCTGTAAAGTCAATGAAAGCTAAGTTATAATCCATAGAACAGTAGAGGTTAGGTACAGAGTAAGGGTTTGGGGGCAAGTTATTATCTCTTTGAGATGGAGAAACAGAGTAGATATTTATAGATGTCAGGAAGAAAAGACAAAAACAGAATATAGAGAGGGAAAGGATAGCAAAAGTTAAGGGTCATTTGAGGGATATTATAAAAATCTAATACAAGTTTACTTATATAATACAAGTATATATATATGTGTGTGTGTGTGTGTGTGTATAACATATATTTATATATGTAGCATATATATATATACATGTATGTTGCATACATATACACATATATACACATATAGATAGATAAATGATAGATAGATAGATAGATGATAGATAGATAGATAGATAGATAGATAGATAGATAGATATAATTACCCATCATTTACCTGTGACATTCATGATTTCATTTTTTGCATATAAATAAATGTAACAATTTTTCTTTATCCTTTCATCAAGTCAGGAATATATTTGGAATCTTATGCAATAATTAGACACTTAAGATGAGCAAATAGGTAATAATACTTTATTTTGCTCTTTAGATAATTCCTGTGTGGATCCACCACATGTGCCAAATGCTACTATAGTCACAAGGTCCAAGGCTAAATATCCATCTGGTGACAGAGTACGTTATGAATGTAACAAACCTTTTGAACTATTTGGGGAAATGGAAGTAATCTGTCTAAATGGGATTTGGACAGAACCACCGACATGCAAAGGTAGGGCATCATTTTCCCTAATGTTTATTTGACAACATAATTTACTTATTGTACATTAGTGAAAATAAACTGATGCAATTTTAAAAACAATTAAATTATTTTATTTATTTATGTCCCAAATGTTGTCCCCTCCCAGTCCTCCCTCCCAGAGCTCTTTCCACCATGCCCCCTCTACTTCACCTCTGAGAGGATGCTCCCTCCATCCCTCTTCCCTGGGTCATCAATTCTATAAAGGACTAGGTGCATCCACTCCCTCTGAGGCCAGGAAAGGGAGTCCCTTGGTAGATATGTGCCAGGAGCCTCTAACCAGCCTCTGTATGCTCTTTGGTTTTGTGGCTTAGTCCCCGGCAAGCTTAGAGGAGTGCAGGTTAGTTGATACTGTTGATATTCCTATGGGGTTTCTATCCCCTTCATCTACTTCAGTCTATCCCCTAACTCTTCCATGGGGTCCCAGACCTCTGTCCAATGCTCAGCTGTAAATATCTTCCTCAGTCTCAGTCAGCTACTGGTAGAGTTTATCAGAGGAAAGCCATGCTAGACTCCTGTCTGCAAGCAGAACACAGCACCAGTAATAGTGTCAGCATTTGGTGCAATGAGCATGGGAGATCTCTCCATTTTCTGAGGACTTCTTCAATTCCTTTCTTGGCAGACTTGAAGTTCTTGTCATACAGAACTTTTACTTGCTTAGTTAGAGTTACACCAAGATATTTTACATTATTTGTCCTATTGTGAATGGCGTTGTTTCCATAATTTCTTTCTCAGTCCACTTACCGATTGTATAGAGAACAGCTACTGAATAATTTGAGTTAATTTTCTTCCAGGCAATTTGCTGAAGTGATTTGTAAAAGTTCTCTGGCAAAATTTTTGGGGTTGTTTATGTATACTGTTATATCATCTCCAAATAGTGATACCTTTAATTCTTACTTGCCAATTTGTGTTCTCTAGAACTCCTTTTGTTTTCTTATTACTTTAGCTAGAACTTCGAGTACTATATTGAGTAGACATGAGAAGAGTGTTCATCCTTATCTTGTCCCTGATTTTAGAGGGATTGTTTCAAGTATCTCTCCATTTAATTTGATATTGCCTGTGGTTTTGCTGTATTATTGCTTTTATTATGTTTAGGTATAGACCTTGAATTCCTGATCTCTCCAATACTTTTAACATGAAGGAGTGTTTTATTTTGTCAAATGCTTTATCAGCATCTAATGAGATGACCATGTGATTTTTCTCATTGAGTTTGTTTATACAGTGGATTATGTTAATAGATTTTTGTATATTGAACCAATCTTGCATCCATGGATAAAGTCTACTTGGTCATGGTGAATGATGGTTATGATGTGTTCTTGGATTCCATTTGCTAGAATTTTATTGATCATTTTTGCATTCATATTTAGTAGTAAATTTGGTCTGAAGTTCTCTTTTTTTCTTTAGCCTTTGTGTGGTTTAGGTACCAGAGTAATAGTGGCTTCATAGAATGAATTATTATACTATTAGACAGTGGTCCTTCTCTTTCTATTTTATAGAATAGTATGAAGAGTGTATGCATTACCCCTTCTTTGAAGGTCAGGTAGAATTCTGCACTAAAGCCATCTGGCCCTGGGCTCTGTTTGGTTAGGAAATTTTGATAATTTTTATTCTATTTTTTTATGGGATATTGACCTGTTTAGAAAGTTTACCAGATCTTGATTTAACTTTGGTACATGGTTTCTGTCTAGAAAATCCCTCATTTCATCTAGATTTTCCAGTTTTTTTTTTTAATATAGGCTTTTGTAGTATGATCTGATGATATTTTGTATTTCCTTAGTTTCTGTTGTTCTGTTTCCCTTTTCCTGTCTGATTTTGTTAATTTGCATACTGTCTCTGTGCCCTCTAGTTAGTTTGACTAAGTGTTTATCTAGCTTGTTGGTTTTCTCAAAGAATCAGCTTTTCATTTTGTTGGTTCTTTGTATTGTTCTCTTTGTTTCTATTTGGTTGATTTCAGTCTGGTGTTTGACTATTACCTGCCCTCTACTCTTGGGTGTGTTAGCTTCTTCTTCTTTCTTTATATATTTTTTTATTTGATATTTTCTTTATTTACATTTCAAATATTATCTCCTTTCCAAGTTTCCCCAGAAACCTCTTATACTATCCTCCCTCCCCTGTTTCTATGAGGGTATTTCCCCACCCACCCATTCCTGCCTCCCCACCCTCAGCCTCTAATTCCCTTACACTGGAGCATCCTTTTTGTTCTAGTGCTCTTAGGTGTGCTGTTACTTTGCTAGTATAAAATCTCTACAATTTTTTTTTAACCAGGACACTTAGTTCCATGAATTTTCCCTTTAGAATTGCTCTCATTGTGTCCCATAGTTTTGGTTATGCTGTATCATTATTTTCAATGAATTCCAAGAAGTTTTAAATTTCTTTCTTTCTTTATTACTTGACCAAGTTATCACTGAATAAAGAGTTGTTCAGTTTCCATGGGTATGTGGGTTTTCTGTTATTTTTGGTCCTATTGAAGAATAGTCTTATGCTGTGGTGATCTGACAGAATGTGTGGGAAAACTTCAATCTTTTTGTATTGGTTGAGGCTTGTTTTGAGATCCACTATATGGTCAATTTTTGAGTAGGTACAATGCAGTGCTGAGAAGAAGGTATATTCTTTGGTTTTAGGATGAAATAGTCTATAGATCTGTTAAATCGTTACGTTCATAACCTCTATTAGTTTTACTGTGTCTCTGCTTAGTTTCTGTTTTCATGACCTGTTCATTAGTAAGAGTGGGGTGTTGAAGTTTCCCACTATTATTGTGAGGTTCAACGTGTTTTTTGAGCTTCAGTAAAATTTCCTTTATGAATATAGGTGCCCTTACATTTGGGGCATAGATGTTCAGAATTAAAACTTTCTATTAGTGAATTTTTTCTTTCAGAAACATGAAGTATCCTTTCCCTGATTACTTGATAACTTTGAGACTGAAAATCTATTTTATTGAATAGTTGATGGCAATTCCTGCTTGTTTCTTGGGACCATTGCTTGGAAAACTTTTTTTTTCAGTCTTTTACTCTGTGGCAGTGTCTGTCTTTGTTATTATTGAGATGTGTTTCTTTTATGCACCATAATGCTGGATCCTGTTTGTGTATCCAGTCTGTTAGCTTATGTCTTATTATTGGGGAATTGAGTTCATTGATATTGAGAGATATTAAATCAGATGATTGTTAGTTCCTATTATGTTTGTTATTGTAGGTGGTATTATGTGCATGTGATTCTCTCCTTTTTGCTTTGTTGTGAGATGATTAATATCTTGCTTTTACTTTGGTGTAGGTGTGCTACTTATGTTGGAGTTATTCTTGTAGAACTCTACATAGTGCTGGGTTGGTAGATAGATATTGTTTAAATTTGGTTTTGTCCTAGAATATTTTGTTTATTTTTTCATCTATGTTGATTGGGAATTTTGCTGAGTATAGTATCCTGGGCTGGTATTTGTTTTAAACAAATTGTGTGTGACCTCTGTCCAGGCTCTACTGGCTTTTGATGTCTTTTTTGTGAAGTTGGGTATAATTCTGGTTGGTCTGTCTTTCTATGTTACTTGGGTTTTGTCCCTTACAGCTTTTAATATTTGTTTTAGTTCTGTACACTTTGATCATCCTGATAAGCCCTTAGAAACAGTGATCTCAGGAGTTTTCACAGAACTTAGTTTATGCTTTGCTAGTTTTTGACTATTTGCATCTATGATATTGCTAATTTCTCAACCTAGAATTGACCTTAATACTTGCATGTAATTAAAAAGGAAAAGAAGGAGGTTTGGAGATGGGACAGCTGTTTTCTAGGGAGGGAAATGGCATCTGAAATATAAATAAATGAAATATCCAATTTTAAAAATTGAAAAAAAGTGCTCAGATTATTATGTGATGAGAGTATTTTCTTTTCTGGTCCAATATATTTGGTGTTCTACAGGCTTCTTATACATTTGTGACCATCTCTTTCTTTAGTTTGGGGAAGTTTCCATCTATGATTTTGTTGAAAATGTTTTCGGGTCCTTTGTGCTGGGAATCTTTGCTCTTCTCTATTTCTATTATTCTTAGATTTTAAATTTTCATTGTGCCCTGGATTTCCCGGATGTTTTGGGTTAGGAGTTTTTTATGTTTTGAATTTTCTTTGACAGTTGTGTCAATATATTCTTAGATATCTTCTCTACCTGAGATTCTATCTTCTATCTTTTGTATTCTGTTGGTGATGCTCTCATCTGTAATTTCTGACCTCTTTCCTAGGTTTTCCAAATCAAGGGTTACCTTTATTTATGTTTTCTTTATTGTTTCTACTTCCACTTTTACATCTTGGACCACTTTGTTCAATACTTTTACCATTTTGATTGTTTTTTGCTGTGTTTCTTTAAAGAATTTGTTTCCTCTTCAAAGGCTTCTACCTGTTTACCTATGATTTCCTGTATTTATTTCTATGACTTATTTATGTCCTCCTTAAGTGAATCTATCTATCATGAAGGAATAATCTTCATGAGTTAGGATTTTAGGTCAGCTTCCTGATTTTTAGGTGTGATGGTGCACCCAGGGCTCACTGTGGTGGAAGAACTGGTTCTGATGGTTCCAACTTATATTGGTTTCTGTTGCTTATGGTCTTGATCTTACCTCTAGCAATCTGATTATCTCTGGTATTAGCTTTCCTAGGTATCTTTATCTTTGTCCTGCCACTTGTGTCTCTGGGTTGCTTCAGGCATCCTGCTATGCCTTGGCTGTATCAGATCTCTTGTGAAGCCTTCAGAAAGTGAGGTCTTCATAGGTGCATGGATGCCAATGACCTATTGATCTGGTTGCAGAGGCTTTCCTAGGAGGCCTTCAGACTGTGGGGTCTTCAGAGGAGTAGATAAGCTGGTGATCTGCGTGGCAGAAGATGCAAGCTGGAAGGAACATGGAATTCAGTGGGCTAAGGGCTTGGAGGTGATGAGTCCTGAGTCTACTGGAGTCTTCGGGGTCAACAGCTGCTGCAGTTGTTTAGGAGGGTCTCTTACCTATTGTCCTCCATGCAGCAGAACTCCTAGGAGGCCTACAGTCTGTGGTGTCTTCAGAATAGTGGCCAAGCTGGTCAGGTCTTATTTCTTTTTTTTCACGTTGCTTTGGAGGAGTAGTTCTCAAGAATTTAATGGTGTCATGCATTTTATTATTGTTTTTCAATACACAATCTGAGTATGCTATCTCTCATAGTTTCCTAACCATCTGTTACTGAAGTCACCCTAGGTGTTTGTGTATGTATTATTATTGATTAATACTGACCTTTTATATTCTAATGATTAAATAGAATCTGAACTTACCTCCAAAATCCAATTATGTTTCCTATTTCCTATGTTTTCCTTAAGGATTCCTACATAGATTTCTGTTACATAGATTAAATACCATTCTTTTTTATTTTTTCTGAGTCCTTGTTTCATTATTTACTCGCCTACCTAGTATTACCCTTTAATAAGTCTCCTTTTTTGCTTTTCAGTATTATTCATCACATTTTTCTTTCTTTTTATTATTTTATTTATTTACATTTTAAATGTTGGCCCACTCTCCAGACCCCTATCCTCAAGTTCTTCACTCTATCTCCCCTCCCCTTTGCTTCTGAGAGGGTGCTCCCCAACCAACCCACCTACCCATTCCTTACCCCTACCAGCATCCCTCTTCCCTTGCACATAAAATTTCTACAGAGTTTGGCTGATCCTTCTTTATTAAGGTAAGACAAGGCAGTCCTCTGCAACACATGTACCAGAGGCCATGGACCAGTCCACATATGCACTTTCATTGTTGAGTTAGTCTCAGGGAGCTCTGAGGTTTGGTGGTTAGTTTATACTATTGTTATCCCCTTCAGCTCCTTCAATCCTTCCCTTAACTCTTCCATGGAGATCCCAGACCTCATTCCAGTGGTTGGCTGTAAGCATCTTCATCTGTTTCAGTCAGCTGCTGGTAGAACCTCTCAGGGGACATCCATGCTAGGCTCCTGTCTGCAAGCACAAACTGGCATCAGTAATAGTGTCAAGGTTTGGTGCCTGTGCATGGGATGGATTCCAAGTTGGGAGGGTCACTGGATGGGCTTCCCTTCAAGCTCTGTTCCATTTTTATATCTGCATTCCCTTTAGACCAGAACATTTCTTAATCAAACATTTTAAACATGAGTGGGTGACCCCATCCCTCAACAGGGGGCCATGTCTACCTACTGGTGGTCTCTTTAGGTTTTATCTCTTCACTGTTGACATTTTACCTCAGCTTATACCCATTGGATCCTGAAAGCCTGACATATCCTTACAGTCTGGGACTTTTAAGATGTTCCCATGTCCCACAACCAACACTGGTGCATATTTTTATACATTCTCCTAGCCCTCTAGGATTCTGTCCTGTCTTCCTCTCCCCAATGTCTGACCCTGACTTTCTTCTTTTCCTTCCTCCTCTCACCCTCATTCATGTCACTTCCTCCCTCTGCCTCCTATGATTATTTTTTTAACACTATTCTTAAATGCTAGGTTTCATTTGAAACACAAACATAATTTTATGAGTACAAAGATCATCTAGTATATACCCCTAATTTTACAGTTAAATTTCTCCTACTATTAATTTCTATTTTTATTTACATAATGAATTCTGGTAGGTATTCATTAGGAAGATATCTCTGCTGGATATAAATCCCATTTATCTTCTTTTGGTGGATAATGTCTATTTTAATGTCTTTATTCAAAAGATTACCACCACAGAATATAGAACTTAAAGTTGACACTCATTTTTTTTACTTCCTATGGTTTTCATGGTGGTAGATAGGAGTCACTTTCTTTGAGAACTTGGTCCAGTGTGGTTGCTGATGACTTCTTACTGATTTTTTCCAAGATATTTTCTTTAAGTAATTTCAATAGATGGATCTCTAGGAGTTTCATAGGACTTGTCCGATTTGAGTTTACTCAGCTCTTGAATATGCACATTCATGCGTTATGGCCATTATGTTTTCATTTTCCTTCAAACTAAAATATTAATTTTGTTTAAATCTTGAATGTTTTGTTTTTACCTAAAAAGCATTTGAGTTTTGTTCAGTTTCATGATGCTCCTCCCAAGATCTTATTGAACAAAATCAGTACTTTTGATTTCAGACTTTCCCTGTGTCCTCACAAGGGCAAGCAGTAGTTCAAAAGGAAGACACATAGGACAGTATTAGGTAGTTAGGTGAGTTCTGAATTTCTTTGCTAGAATTTTCAATGTCTCTTCTCTGCATATGTTTACTAAAAATGTCCAAGCATTTCAGATATACTTAGCAAAAGCATAACATATAGATAGCTATGCTTCTTTTGACCCTATCAGAAATCCAGAAAGCCTCATTAGCCTTCTGTAATATTATAAGCTTTAAATTCTTATTTACAAATATATTTTTAAAAGAGTGGGAATATATAGGATCGTATACTATTGAATTTTTAAAAAAAAAATCTTTCCTATCTACATTGGCATCTGTGTATTCTGAAGCTGTTAAGATATTTACTAATACTTGAAGGCTTCAGAACAGACATGTTTGCAGCACTTAAGTAAGTGTTTTAGGTGAGAAGGCAGGAAGAAATTGTAACTCTCATTTTATATGATTAATCTTTCTAAAAGTAATCATTTATTTAGCCAGAAATCACTAAAGTCTTGTTTAAGACTGTATTCCTTTTGGTTCTGCTTGAGCCTGTAATTTGACTTGATTCTCTTGACATTCAAATCTTGTCTCCTTAGACTCAACAGGGAAATGTGGGCCTCCTCCACCTATTGACAATGGAGACATCACCTCCTTGTCATTATCAGTATATGCACCATTATCATCAGTTGAATATCAGTGTCAGAACTATTATCTACTAAAAGGAAAGAAGACAATAACATGTAGAAATGGAAAGTGGTCTGAGCCACCAACTTGTTTACGTAAGTACCTTATTTTCATAGACTATAAGAGATTCTGTGTTATATCATGGATATTATTATGTTAATACTAGAATACTCACAAAATACAAGTACTGTTTTGACTGTGCGTCAGTGCCAAACATCAGCATGTGATGAAAACAAGATTATTAGAAATTTAAAAAAAAACACTAGTCAAATAAAATTGTGCTTGCTATTACTTATAATTAAGTTTTTACTACCATGTATTAATGTCCACAGAACTGGGAGCCAGCATGATATTTTATACCAGCTTCCTCAGCCAATGTTGTATTGCAGTAAAGAGGCACTATGACCATGACAAATCTTTAAAAACAAATAATCAAACAAAAACAAAACAAACAAACAGACAAAAAACAAAAACCATATTTGTTGGGTGGGTATTGCTTAAAATATCAGAAATTAGTCTACTCTCATGTTTGGGAACATGGTGGCCCAGAGGCAAACTTGATGGTGGAGAAGTAGCTGAGCATTCAACATCTGGCTCTAGAGGGAGCAGCAAACCATCATAGACATATCTTCTAACAAGGCAACACCAATTCCAGTAAAGCCATAGCTCCTAATCCTTCTCAAGTATCACCAGCCCCCAATGAATAATCAATATGTGAGTCTATAGAGGCCATTCTTTCTCAATTCACCACATCTTTGTACATCTTGCAGGTATTAAATCCATACAATATCTCTTTCCCTTAGATAAGCCAAATAACATCTATTAATCATTGTCATATATTCTAGAGAAATTATAATCTTTCTTTTCTCTTTGAGAAAGAACTCAAAATAGTTGTCTTCCTGTGTTTGGTTTATTTCCCTTAATGTCTACCAATGCCCTTTTCTAATCAAAACAATAAAATATATCTGTAATTTACGGACAACATTTTACATTTAAATATACCATGTTGTCTTTATAAATTGACCAATTAACATTAGTTCAGACAATTTTTTCATCTTAGCTATGCTCCTTTAGCAGTTTACAATAGATATGTGCATGCAGTTTGAGTAATTTGACTTTATTTCCTTTGGGTACATACCAGAAGTATATAAGAAAAATGTATGTAAAAATCTATTTTTAAATTTTTAAGATATCTCAATTATTATCTATAGTAATTTCACAAAGTCATATTCCCATCATTGTTTTATTTGTTTTTCACCACACATTCATGAGCATTTGTAATTATAAGAGCTCCTTTCTCTGGTGCTATTTTAACTGAGTGAGGAGATATTTTATTATGGATTGACAATGAAATTACAGCTAATGATATTCAGGTGGGTTTTTTTTACCCAATTTTGATTGGCTTACTTTTCTTTTAAAATGTGTTTTACCACAGATTAATGACAGTTCAGTTAAAGACTATCAACAAATTGAAATCTTTTTCAATTATTTAAGTATAACATAAGGCAGATATAGTGCAAAGCTTTTTCAAAATCAATTTATTGAAAATGGTGTTGTAACTTCCAAAAGAGCAACCATGCCCAAAGCAATCAATTAAAATCAAATAAAACAAAGCAAAGACAAATAAATGTATTTCCACTTCTTTAAATTTTTTTGACATAGGCAATCCTATAAAAGCTACGTAAATATCTGGAAACAAACAACAGACAACCATTTACTTTGATTCAAGTGTCTAACAATTTCTTAGTTGTATTGATTAACCTCTTTGCTATGCACAAGAACCACATTGTGATAAAATCCGTGGGTCAAGGTTTGCTTTTTGACTTGTGATTTGGAATCCCACCCAAACACCCAGTGTCCAAAACCAATGAAATGTTTCCCAGTTGTGCTTTTTTGTTCTTTCAGTGGTTTGTTCTTACATTGACGTCTTTAACCAACTTTCAGTTGACTTTGCCCAGAATGACAGACAGATATAAATTTTAATCATCTCCATATGATTACCAATTATTCTTATATCATTTATTGAATATGATATCAGTTTTCTAACCTAAGTTTTTGGAAAGTCTATTAAGATCAGTTAACTGTAGATGCATGATCATTTCTCAAATCACTTTTCTCATTCACTGGAGGGTTTATTGCATTCAAGTTACTGTGGGGCTCCTGGTGTATGTTGAAATCAGGTATTATGACATCTCCGAATTTTCCTTTCTACTCTAGTTCCAGTTATCTACTCATTCTATTGTACTTCCATACAAATTTTAGATTTTTACTCATATGAGTATGAAAAATGTTATTGGTATTTTGTTGTGGGCTCATATAGACTACTAGTAACCATAGGAGATGTGGACATTTCTATATCAATATTCTTAGAACCCTTTAATATACAAGATTTTTCCATTTTTGTCTTTTCTGATTCATTTACTAGTTAACTAATATTTATGATTGAAGTTTTCACTTCTGTTGATAAATTAATAGCTGAATTAATTTTCAAGTTACTGATCATGACATTGCATTTATAGTTAATTCTCTGAAAAAAATGTTTTTTTTATAAAAAAGGGGTGATTTTTGTAGGTTTATGTATTGCTTAATGAACTTTGCTAATTTTTCTTTCAGTTGCATGTGTAATAGCAGAAGATATTATGAAAAGATATAACATAGTCCTCAGATGGAGAGAAAATCAAAAGATTTATACCAAATCAGGGGAGAATATTGAATTTATGTGTAAACCTGGATTCAAGAAAATAAGAGGATCTCCTCCACTTCATACAAGGTGCATTGATGGTCACATCAATTATCCTACTTGTGAATAAAATCACAATACAATTATTAGTAAATCTTATGGGTGAACCTTTGTTAAAAATGCACATGCATGTTACTGGTACAGTTTCAATTTTCATTTGAAATATTGTTTAGCTCATTTCTTCTAATAAGTATAAACTTTTGTTATGTGGTGTTTAATTTATAACCTTAAAGAATGTTGCCACAATGAAAGAGCAGCACATTCAAAACTTCCAATCCAAAATATATATTTAAGGACAAACTATATCAAACAACAAAAATAAATATAAGTTCTTCAATGTCTGTTTCGGTTCAGAACTTTTCAGATTTTTCTGGACATCTTTTGATGTAAAGTTCTGATTCACAGTGAGTGAAAGACATATTGACACAGTCTTCAAATTGGAATTATTTCCCAAACTCATAACAACCAAACTATCAATTATATTGTCACTAATGCATGTCATTAATTACTATATACTACTTTTATAAATACTATATACTACTTTTGTATCAGTAACAAAATCTAATTAAGTTCTTGCATATGAACTTCTAATATTTTGTACATTGTATTAATGAAATATTCAAACAATTATACAAAGGGATTAAAATTTTTACTAGGTGTATGTTTCTATCACTGTAATAATATTGACATTAAAATTTACGAATATTTGTTATCACTTACGAATAGAAAATGAGCATTATCTTAGTTTTTTTCTTGTTTTTTTTAATTCGATATCTTATTTATTTGCATTACAGGTGCCATCCCCTTCCCAATTTCCCCCACCCATTAGTCCCCTATCCCATCCATCCTCCTTTTTTGCCTTTATACTGTTTAAATTACATGCAAGTATTAAGGTCAGTTCTAGGTTGAGGAACTAGCAATACAATAGATGCAAATAGTCCAGGAACAAGGAAGACAATAAACCCAGATAATCAAAGAACATGCACAACAATAAACAGAGTCCCATGATCACTCTGTGATCACTATTTCTAAGGACTTATCAGGATAATCAAAATATTTGAGCATATTTCTCTGTCCTAGTCCAAAGTCATTTTCATGCCTAAAGCCTACTTTTTGTTCTAGCTTAAGATTTAGATTTCTGCCTATAGTTGCTTCTTTGTTCTAGCCTAAGATTTAGATTCCCACCTGAAATTTCTTCTTTGTTGTAGCCAGGATTTATATTTCTGTCTGATATTTCTTCTTTGTTCCAGCCTAGGATTTAAATTTCTGCCTGAAATTACTTCTTTGTTCCAGCCCAATGTCAGATTCCTGCCTGAAGCCTACTTCCTTGTCTTTGGCCTAGGTCAGATTCCTTCCAAGCAGCGCATTTCTTTGTGTTTGGCCAATGACAGATTTCTGCTACGCAGCCCAAAAAGCTCTCCACATCTCCCCTTTTTTATTCCATAAACCAGACTGAGCCTGTCTTAGGTTCTTCTGACAAGAAAGACTTCCTTACCCACTGTGGAATATGCATTGTCACAAGCAACACATTTCTGTCTTAGGGTGATGAGGCTCACTGCAGAATCTTAACTGTCCTTGGCTTACCAGCCTGTTAAATTAATAACTCTGTCTGGGGGTCCATTATCAGTTTCAAGTCATGTACTTTGGTTGCCAGCATGTTGATGTAGTTAGAGACAAGCTTTAACGCTATGGGCAGGAATAAAAGTATCCCCAGGACAAGAAGGGCTAGCCTGATCAAGATATATATGCCAGTTGTTGTTGTTTTGAAGAGAAATATTAACCAAGGCAACTCAAATGCATAATGACATTTAACTGGGTTTGGCTTTTAAGTTAACATATTTAGTCAATTATCATCACAGTGTAAAGTAGGACAGTGTTTATGTAGACATGCTGCTGGCAAAGGAACTGAAAATTCTACATTTTGATCCATAAGCAGCAAAAGGCCATGTGCCACACTGAACATCACTTGACCATAGGCAACCTCAAAACCTGCCCCGACTGTGACAGACTTCATTCAACATGACCCTACCTATATTTGGTAAGCTACACCTCTGGTAGTCTAATAATATCTGTAAAGGAACAGAAAGTCCAAGAATTCAGTAGTTACTCAGTTCTTAAGGCTGCGTGTCTCAGTTGGTTTTTAGTTTTTAAATACATAATCTTTAATTCCAGGAAAAGAATTGGATGTACTAGCATGGTGAGGACAAGAAGGGAAAGATGAAAAGAGCAACAGTCCCCTCCTTCTATGTCCTTATATAGGTTTACAGAAGAAGTTGTGGCCCAGATTAAATGTGTGTCCTCCATCCTCAAATTCTGGAATAAAGTCATGTATCTTCCTGCCTCAAGTTCCAGATTAAAGATGTTTAATTTCCTACCTCAAAGGTTCACACTAGAAAAGTAGATTTGCCTACTTTTAACTAAGTAAAAATCTCTCAGAGATGTGTACTCCATATCTGGATTGTTCTTCATTCCAGATGTAATCTTGTTGACAGTCAAGATCAGCCATCACAATTTCAACCATTATTACCATGACACACAATCATATCTCCTCATTTCATGATTAATTTTCAAATGAAAACAATAACCAAGTCATAGTTACACTTGAACATAATAACTGTTCTACATACAATATAAAATAGAACATTGTTTGTGATCATTTTCTTATCCCAACCTTTAAGAAAACCATTGATATTCTTTTAATTGATGTTAGAGCATATGATTAGGAAATAGAGGAAATGGAGAGAAAAGAGAAATACGTGTTTAAATGCATTCTTAACAAAATACAACCAAAGCACTCATTTCAGCTATAATCCTTGTTTCTCAAATTGGCTACACTGCCTTAGTTGATGGCTTAGTTAGGGTGCTATTGCTGTGAACAGACACCATGACCATAGTAATGCTTACAAAGGAAAACCTTACTTTAATCTTTTTTATATGATATTTTATTTATTTACAATATAGATGTCATCCTCTTTCCCCATTTCCCCTCCCTAGAACCCTCTATCCTATACCCCCTCTTCCATTATGCTTTTATACCATTTTGATTACATTAATATATTAAGGTCAGTTCTAGGTTGAGGGTCTAAGAAAATCTTTAATTGGGGCTGGCTTCCTGTTTCAGAGGTTTTGCCATTATCATTATGATGTGAAGCCTGGCATCTCAAAGGTAGAAATGGTGCTGGAGCTGAGAGCTTTTACATCCTGATCCTCAGGCAGCAGAAAGAGACTGTGTCACACTCACTGGACAAAGCTTGAGCATAGTCTTCAAAACCTGCCCGCGAAGTGACATACTTCTTCCAACAAGACTACAACTAGTCCCAAAAGGCCATATCTCCTAATAGCATCAATCATAATGTTCCAGGAGTTCTACCACATGGTATATGTGGGCCATTCTTATTTAATCAGCACATCTGTATTTAGCTATATCCCTTTATTACACATGTTGCCTTTCTTACACCACCTGTAAGCACCTCTGCAGGTCTTGGCTCTTTTTCTGGAGCAATGACTCATACATTCATTCCTGTAAGGTCTGTGCTCTTTATCATGTTCCCTGGATTAGGCCATGGTAAGTTACCACTGACCTTCATCACAGGACAATGTAGCACCAAGTGACATCCAAAAGAATTCTCTGCATGCCAGACTTAATTTTCTTATCTCCACTGTAAAGTTCCGATCCAATTTTACCATGGAAATTTGGATTTATCAACACTCTTACAACTGTTAATTCCTCTTTATCCTGTTTGTAAAGGACATTAGAAGCCCAAAGTGGCCATATGGAATACTGAACTTCTAGGCCAATAGATTATTTGTTGTAGGAACATTCTCTACTTTGAAAACAAAACTTCTAGGATAGCAGAACTTATGGTCTCAAGAACAAGAAGCAATTTTTCCTAGACCATCACTAGGGGTGATAGTGGGCTTCTGTTTTATATCCCTTGATCTTTGACCCATGAATCCTGGATACAAGAGTTATCATATCATATCTTAGGTGTATAATCAAAACATAATCTGCCCTATGGATAACACTGCCACAGCTTTCCAGCTGTTGCCATGTAATTTTATTTTACACTGTAGCTGTGTCTTCACAAGGCCTTATCTCTCCATTAGGTTAGTTGCTGCAGAATAATGGGTAACAAGATAAGACCAGTTGATAAAATGATTATTGGCCTTGGTCAGCTGCAATACTGTGTAGAATACCATGATAGTGAATAAGGCACTCTTTAACTTCACAGATGGTTGTTTTGCCAGAGGTATTGCTTGCAGGAGAGGCAAGTCTAAAACCAAAATAAGTATCTACTACAGAAGGACAATAAGGTATACTTCCCATAGAAGAGGTGGTCCAATATCAGTCAACCTGTTACCATATTTCTATTTCCTTTACAAAAGGAATGGGTCCTAATCAGGAACTCAGTACTGATTTATGTTGTAGAGAGATTTGACCTCAGAATACAGTTGTAGCCACAGCAGACTTGGTGAGTGGAAGTCCATGTTGTCAAGCCCGTGTATATATCTCATCCAGTCAACATCTTCATTTTGTTCATGGGTACACTGAACAATGACTGGAATGTCTGTGGAAACAAAAGCTAACTTTCCACAGAGAGTCATTAAGACTACTTGATAACTGATCTCCTCTTCAGCAAAAGTCACCTATTGATGAACGTTTCCATGGGACACAAGTTTCTTCACAACTTCTGAAAATTTGGAGAGATCTGTCTACATACAGCTTCTTACTCAGATGACTTTACCATCAATTTTCCAGTCATGATTTTGCTCAAGCCTCATCCAACCAATAAATTAGTTACAGATCATGATTTAGTGAACCACTGCACATCTAGCCACTTCTTTTTTCAAAGAAATTATATTACCCTGTGTACTGCCTGAAGTTTGGGCCTCTGTGAAGATTTCCCCTTACCCATGACTTCCAGCATTGCTAGGAGATGTTTGTTACAGTCTACCTGTCCACTTCTAGGTGGTGCTTGTATAACATGCAGAAATAACAGCAAACCAGATCTAAGTCTTCTCCTCCTCAGTCAATCAATCATAAAGAACATACCATGAGGCTCTAGGTACACACTTTTCTGCTGACATTATTTTAAGAGGAGTAAAAATCATTTGGCCAACTTCTTCATGTAATTTACTTGTTCCAGCCTTCAGGAGCTGCTCAGATCCAATCACGTATACATCTCTTTCACTTGGTAATAAACTGCTGCCATGTACATCCTACTTTCTGATCGGTGTATCTGATAATATTTGTTTCATTGTGGGTTGCTTATGTTGCATGATGACTAGAGTCCAATAGCAAGCCAAGAGCTGTCTTTCAAAAGGAAAATAGTTTCTTTGTAAGCAATGGTAGAGTTTTGGTCCAAAATCCCAAAGGTTTATTCTGTAATTCACCTATAGGGGCCTGCAGCAGGCTCCAAAGAGCATTCCTATCTGCAATTGACACCTCAAGTACCAACAAGTCTTCTGGATCATATGGTCTAAGTAGTAGGTCAGTCTTCACATCTGCCTAGACCTTTGGAAGAGATTTCACCTGTTTTAGGCCTGACCAAAAGCTACCAGTCACTTGGTATATGCACCAGAGTAGTACACCTAAGTGAGGAATGTGCTTTCTCTAGAATCAAAATATACTCACTAAATATTTTACTTCTTTTTGTTGGTGAAGGACACCAGATGCAACAAAAAACTCCTTCTTTAATTTTGCTACTATTACGAATAGCAATATATATATGATATTCAGGATATCTGATATGTATCATCTATGAAATTATTGTTTGATCCCCAATGGCAGCACAACCCATAGGTTGAGAACCATTTAAGGAAGATCTACAACAGATGTAGACATAAGACTTGGTGTCTTACCAATGCTTGCCTTCTCTTTTCTATGTGCTGCCACGTGGTAGAATCATGACAAAGAAATTTTGTGTGCTTTGCTTGTATTGGAACTAACTCCATTAGTGAAGAAAGCACCACCTAACCCAATCTCCCAGAAAACTCCATTATCTTTACTATCATAAAGGTGATGTGGAAACATTAAATAAATGTTAGGTAGGATCACCATTAAGACTGTAGCAGAGGAATGAAAAAGACAGTTCATCATGATGGGAACTAAAAGACAGAAAAATGGTTATTCCCATCAGACAAAATAAAAATTAAATTAAAAAATATTAAAGGAAAATATAAGAGATTGTTAAATGTAAAGTAAATTCACTAAATACATCTAACAAGTAGGTCTGTGTGTAATAAATTTAATATAAAAACATATTTATAGAAGTAAAGGAAAAATACACTTAAGTATATTAACCATGAGGTCTTCTATTAAATATGGGTCTAGTGGATAGAAAAATAACACAGCAACATTATACTTGATTGATATATTAGCCATATTATCATCATTTATAAGGGTATATTATTTCACCAGAACTTAAAATTCAACTGACACACTTTATGTCCTCAATGAATATAAGTAATTGAACCTGTCAAATGCATGCATAGCATGCTATCTAAGAAGAGTAGCATGCACATCCTTTCAAAAGGCATACAAAATGTTCATCTGAATAGCTAATATTCTATACAGTGAACTTCATCTTCAAAAATATTTGTGTTTTTATAGACTCTTCTTCATAATGTCAAACCTCTACCATCTGAAGATATTCATACTGAACCATAGGAACCATGTTGATGTCTAACAGGAAGCATTTTGCAACACTTGCATCTCAAACATTTGCTACATGATGACTTGAGTACCTGGTACATTACAAAGGAGCACTTTCTTCCCCCTGCTCTAGCACATTGAGCATTAACAGTGACATATGATAGCTAGGATTGGCAGAGATTCTGACCCACTAGAAACTCACATCTCACACTTTCTCTCACCACCAGATTTAATTTCTCAGGAAATATAATGAGAACCTTCTTTTTCATTGAAAAAAATATTTTTTCATATGTATATTGTGATCATAGCTTCCTCAGTTGACTTCCTCCAGACCATTCACACACACACACATTCAGCCAACTCCAAGAAATTTCTGTCTGTTTCAAAAGCAAATAAACTGGCCAAAAGAAAAATTCAAAGAAACACAAAACAGAATAAAATATAACAACGGGGAAAAACACAAAAAGAAAAAAAACACACACATAGTGGGGCTAGAGTGATGGCATAGTGGTTAAGAGCACTGACTGCTCTTCCAGAAGCCCTGAGTTGAATCCCAGAAATCACATGGTGGCTCATGACCATTTGTTATGGGATCCCATGACCTCATCTGGTGTGTCTGAAGAGAGTAACAGTGTGCTCACATAAAATAAACAAAATCTTTAAAAAAAAAAAAAACATATACATAGGGAC